ACGCTAATAGGAGCAGGTGTGTCATGCTGACATGGAATGTATTTTCATTGATATTCTGTTTAAATTTCATTTTTCTTCAACTGTTAGAAAAATGAGTTGAAATTGATAACCTTTGAGATTTTATGTGTTTTTAGTTAAGCAAAACCTTCACGTGAAGCCCAAATGTAAGAAAAAAAAATAAATTGGAAGTCGAGCAGCTCTGGATTGTGTGGATGGAGATGCATGCAGAAGGGTGCAGATCTGGAAGCATTCTGTGGATTGTACCTCCTGTTCTCAAAAACGTCAGGAACACCTTTTCAGAAAGTGAGAAATGATTCCTTGAATGCAATCTGAAAAACATAGCTCCATCTTTAATTTCTAAATCAGCTTAGTTCTATTATGTGGGTATTGATTCAGGCACAAAATAATTTCTATGGCTGTTTTTTTTTAAGAAAAACATTTCCATATCTTAGTTAATGGCTCATTACTCAAACCAATCTTGCCTACAAGGAAAATAATGCAAAAACAAGAGAGAAATATTTTGAGGTCACTACAGGGTGATTAGTGACAAAAATATTACTGTGAAAGATTAGATAATGTTCCGTATAGCACAGAAAATTCAGTGAACAAAATAGTTCAGAGCTTTGCTCTGCTCCATTTGTGATGATAGACTACTTGTTAACTTTGTAGATGCCATATTATATGGCAAGTATTTCCTTCCAGAGAAGAATACACTTTTATGTGTGTTCTTATGCAAAGGCTGTAAGGTGTTGAAGAGATCTTTGCTACAGAAAAATAGTGCTGTATTTTGTGTGTGTGTGTGTGGTGCTGGGGATTGAACTCAGAGCCTTGTGCATGCTAGGCAAGTGCTCTATATTCCTAGCCCTAAAAAATAGTACTGATCCCCAATATGCATCAGGTGTGTAAAATTCAATGTGCATCTTCCTTATAAAATGGTCTTGGCCTTGATAACAGAAATATAAGTGGAACTAAGTAATGAATTTGGTCAGAGCCCTCAGGTTGTGGGAGTGATGAAAGAAGTCAGCACCAGTCTCCAGCATGACTCGGAGAGGGTAGTGCCGTAAGGTGACACAGGAAATGTGTTAAGCTCTGGGCTGGTATTGATACGAGCCCAGATGGAATGTGAATTTTGATGATTATGTTCAAAAATATGTCCCTAAATGCAGGTTCCTTGGGTGGCACCAATCGTGCTGTTGAGGTCAGCTTTCTCATGGTATCATCATCAGAATGTTTTCGAGAGGTCACAGGCCAGAGTCTTAGCCACTGGTCATGAAGCCTCTGCTCTCATCTCTTTGAGAGACCACATTTAGCCCCTGCTCCTCCCTTTCATTAAGTTATATAT